GATGCTGCTGATCCAAGGGTAGCTCAGAAAACTGGTCATCCAAACCTGAAGTTTGTCTCCTAATTTGACATAATGGAACGAATAGAATAGAAAGAAGCCACACACATGGTCATGCCACATCTCAGTCCATGACAACTGCGGCGTTCCTCTCAGGGGCCATTTGAGTGCCATGCGGTACACAACTGATTCATGTCCAAATATTGTTACAGAGAATTTTTTTCTACTTAGATCGACATACAGACCTCAGACTCAGGACTTGTCCTAAATTCTACCTTCTACGAAACCTTTAAGGTGATGAATTTATTTAAAATTCTAATTTAATTTCCTTATACAAATATGTACTTCTGCATATTTTTTGCATAAACGTGAGCACGTGCCTGCTTCTGGCACAGTCTTCTTTCTTCTGTGTGACTCTCCCAAGCACTCCCTTCGCCTCCTGACCCCAGAAGCGACCGCTTCCCTGCTCTAAATGGTGATTTATGCCGGGCTGTGTGCACAGCGCGCTGCAGCCATGCTGGCCTCCCCTCGTCTGATCTCGTCCGATGCTCCTGAGGGCCTGCTCGAAGGCAGGGCGGGACTTGAAGGCACACTTTGCAGCAGGAGCGGGGCTAGATGGGGGAAAACAGCTCCCCCGAGTCCACCAGCAGACCAGGGAAGGCTGGACAGAGTCCAGAGCCATAGGCTCCTTCAAGCCGTCTTCTAAAATAGACCGACAGAGAAGACTAGCGCTTAACACATTATGGGGCCCCTTGGGCAGCCTCCACGGAGCTTTGTGCAGAATTGCTCATCTCTCCAGCTGCAGCTATCTGAACATAGCATTAGACCAGATCCCAACCCCTGGCATGGTTGTGTGGATGGGGTGAGACGTAGTCTGCACAGCCAGTGGGGAATGCCCTGTGGGAAGCCCTCAGAACACCAAGGCTGCCTGCTCCCACGGCTTCTCTGTGCTGGGATACCAGGGTCAGAGCCCGCTGGCCTTGTGTGCTCATGACAAGATGCCCTGAACTTGTGAGGTCTTTAAGTGCTGTTTGGAAGGAAGAAAGACTTGGTTGCTTAGAGGATAAAGTGTTTGCACCTGTCCTGGGCTTTTCTTTCTGTTATTGTCCTGTCTACTCGGTTGTCCATCCATTGATTCGTGGATACACTGCTCCTTTGCTAGCTAGTTCTGCCTCCAAGCAAGAAGAGATGGTCAAATGGCTGGAATCCTGGATCCACTGCACTTACACCCTCATCCACCTACCCCAGCCTCCAGCAGCAAGGCCCAGCAGAGGGCCACTCCAGCAGGCGCCCAAGGGGTGCGTCTCACTGGGACTTTGACTCCAAGTGATGAATGGAGTCTGACCTTGTGAGAGCAGGTAGGGCCATGTGGAAATATTCAGGTCCCTTCCTCATCTGACAGAAGGATGCAATGAAGTCAGCCCTGTGGCCAACCCAGTACCCTCCCCCATGCACATGCCCCATCCTCAGCCTTTCTACATGGAGGATGAGGCAGCCTCTAGAATAGGAGCCAAGGGCAAATCTCTCCTTCAGGAGTGGGTGAGTTCCCCTAGAACTAGGAGAGGGCAGGGCCAGGCTTCCCTGGCTTTCCCTGGCAGGGCCAAGAGGGTAACCTCCCACAAGCAAGGCCCAGACCATCTCCCCATGCTCAGGCGCCTCAGATAGATGCCAGCCAAGGACAGGGAAGGCAGAGAGAATGTGCCCTGCAGGATACGAGTCACCCCCTGCGGCCCCGCCAGCACCCCACACGGCAGCTGGGCTGAGCTCACACAGGGGCAGCACTCGCCTGGATCAGCGGTATTGGCAGCCCAGGCCGGCCTGTTGGCAAGTTAGTGCTGGCTCTGGGCTGGGCTTTCTCTCACCCCCCAGGGTCTTGCAGAATTATAAGGCCAGAGGACCAGCTGCAAGACCTCAGGGCTCAGAAGTCCCACAGGCTCACTTCTGCCCAATTATATGGGTCAAAGCCAGCCCAGATGCAAGGGCTGGAGAAACAGATTTCACCTCCTGATGGGGAACTGGCTCCATCCCAGGGGAAAGGGCATATGAACTGGATGGGAAGCCCTAGGGGCATCTCGGAGCAAAAACCAAACAAACAACAACAACAAAAATCCCTTCTGTACAGCCAAACCTTGGTTCCTCAAAATGTCAACCTGGGCCAAGAGCAAAGGGCACCCATCCCCTGGACTTATTAGAAATCCAGACACCCAGGCCCCAACCCAGACCTGCTGCCTCTGAATCATCACGCGGGCGCCATGCCCGGGTGACCCCTGCGCACATTAAGACCTGACAGGTGCTGGCCTCAGCTAAGCCTCCATCCACTGACGGCCCCCACCTCCATGCTGCAGACCAGGGTTCCTCTTCCTGAGGCCAGGTGACCTTCAGGCTGCTGTGAAGATGGCAGGGACCGACTCGAACTTGCCACAGCCCCCACCCTGGGGCAGCCATGACAGGGCCCCAGGCCCGCTGCTCCTGTCCCTGCTGCCCTGCACCATGGCCTGGGCTAAGATCAAGGCTTAGCAGCGGACGTGGTGCAGGCACTGCCTTGGGTCCAGCCTGATTTCCCCTTGGCTGTCTGAGAAGGAAGAAGTCATGCCCCTCTCCCTCTGGAAAAGGCCCTTGGTCCCCTTTCACCAAACCAACCACATGTGAGAAGAGAAACTCCAGAGAGAAGCCATTTGGACCCAGAGCCTTTATCAAGTCGCTTGACACCTGTGAGTCCTTATCCTGGATGGCCTCACGCCCCTGTCAGCCGCTGGGGCCTGCCAGGGCCTCTGCCACACTGGAGTGCCAGGGGATGCCCACGCCCAGCTTCTCGGGGTGATTTGCAGTGGCCATCAGTGAGTTCAGCTCTGAACTTCGTCCTAATCACTTTCAGGCAGGAAGGCTCTCACCTGCTCCAGGGGGTCTCTGATGAAAGCATTCTGGGGAATAGGAGGCTACATCCATGGCCTCTCCCCCAGAAGCCCGGGGACAGTGCACAGTGAGTGGGAAAAGCCACCTCCCAAGGACCAGAGATGCTTGAAACATGGGTGTGTTCAGTCCCTGCAGCCTGGGGCCCACCCACTGCCCCGGCCCACATGGGTTACATCAGCATTCCTCAAGCGTTCGGGACAGGACCCTGCAAACGATGGCTCTCGGGCTGACCCAGACTGCAGCCTGTTTCCATAAGGTTTGGTTGGAACACAGGCATGCCCCTTCATTCTCATGCATTCTAAGTTTCTTTCACAAAACAGCAGAAAAGCTGAGACCATTTGGCCCACAAAACCTAAAATAGAGGACGATCCGGCCCTCTACAGAAAATGTTTCCCGACCTGTGAGTCAGATGGCATGGGTCACGCAGCCTCCCGGGACCACAGCGCGTCAGAACCCTTCCCCTTCCGATGCTCCTGTGGCCCTGCCTGGCTCCCTCTCACCTGTGCCCTCAGACAGAGCCAGCACTGCCCCCTCCATGGCTACTTCCTGCCCTGTCCTCACCATGGCTGGTGGGACATGGCACCACTGCTGCCCAGCCCATGCTGTGTGGGAGGGCGCTTAGCAGGCCCTTAACACAGGCCAGTGACAGGCATGGAAGGACGGATCCAGGGGGCTGTCATTGGGGTTGAGCAAAGGATCGAGGGTTGAGATTTGGGTCAGCAAATCCCCAGGATCTGGTGGGATGAACCTTTGGTGCAAGTCCTGCCATCTGTTGTCATGGAAACCTTGAAGGGGGGCCGTCGCCAGCTCCGCTGCCTTGCTGAGCACGGGAAAGACGGTTGTGTGCAGAGCCATGGAGCGTGGGCTCTGGAATTGCATGACCCGGCCTTGAATCCAAGGGGCCTGCTTTTAGCTGCTTGTGCACAGCTCAGGTTGTGCCTTTGTGAGACTCAGCCTCTCCGTGCTTTGGGGTCTTCATCTGTGAATGCTGCAACAATTCTCCTGTATCTAGGACTTCCAGGAGGGTTTGCAGTCCTAACGCATTTGTCAAGTATTAAGCAACAATCAGATATCAAGTCAATTGTAAATATTCCTGGAGGAAGCAGGAAAGTGAGTGACTAAGGAGCTGTGGACTCTGTGCTTAGGAGGGCACAGTAGCCTCCAATGCATTTGTATCAAAGCAGGCCTGGATGCACTGGACTGGCTAAAACAGCTGAGGCATGGAGCATTACGTGACTTTTCCCAGGTCACCTAACAGTTTAACAGCGGAGCTGGGATTTGAAATCCAGCTGTCTGGCTACTGGCTAGAGCTGTCCAAGAGAAATGTCAGTCACGTGTGTAATTTCGAATTTTCTAATAGCTGCATTTAAAAAGGTAAAAAGAAGCAGGTGAAATTGATTTTAATAAATTTTATTTAACGTAGTATATCAAAAATAGTATTTCAACATTTGATCCACATAAACACTGTTGGAGGCATTTGATACTCTGTGTTCCATATTAATTCTTCAAAATAAGGCATGTGTTTTACACCGCAGCATCTTCTAGTTAGGAACAGCCACCTGCCTGGCACCCAGCACCCAGCGTGGCTCAGGGCTGTCATGTGGGACAGGGCAGGCCCAGCTGGGAGGGTGATGAACACACGCGTGCGAGGCAGAGTGAGGGAATGGGCAGATGGATGCACAGACGAATAAGCAGAGTCATTTCCCATTTCCCACCTATCTCCCTGGCCCTCCCTGTCTAGCCTGGGCTCCCTTTGGTGGCATGGGTTCTCCCTAATTTGCCTTTGAGCCTCCGGAGTCTGTCCCAGGGGCTGGAGGCTAGTGGGTTCTCAGGACGTGTTTGTGAAGCAACACTGACAGAATCTCTCTCTCTCTCTTTATTTTTTTCTGAGACAGTTTTGCTCTTGTTGCCCATGCTGGAGTGCAATGGCACAATAGCTCACCACAACCTCTGCCTCCCAGGTTCAAGCGATTATCCTGCCTCAGCCTCCTGAGTAGCTGGGATTACAGGCATGCACCACCACGCCAGCTAATTTTTTGTATTTTTAGTAGAGATGGGCTTTCTCCACGTTGGTCAGGCTGGGCTCGAACTCCCGACCTCAGGTGATCTGCCCACCTCGGCCTCCCAAAGTGCTGGAATTACAGGCATGAGCCACTGCTCCCGGCCCCACTGATGGAATCTGTAGTGCTGCCAGCCGCCTCAATCCAAGGGGTACCTTGGCCGTGGCTACCCCAGAACCCATACCCCAGGGTCTCAGGAGTATAAGATGTGTGCTCTACTCCGATTCCTGGGTGCCATCATTGGCTCTAGGACAATCCATTAGAGCACGGCGCAGGCTGTCTGAAACAGATATGCATGTAACATTTAGATTCTTTCTCCAGAAGCCTACAGGTTCCACAATTCAATAAACATCAGAGCAAAGGTTATTTTAAACTCCGCAGTTAAAATCGACGTGGTGATATATTGGTCTGATGACTCCTTTTATGAAATTACCTCTGAAATGTTATGTTTTCATTCTGGGAAACTCATTCCAGCTTTGTTCTTCCTTGAACTTTATAACTTACCCTGCAAACTGCTGTGTACCTGGCCACGGTTCTGGAAGTTTCTCTAGGGCCTGTGATCCGAGCTGATGGGGCGGTGGTGGAGGAAGGCGTGGCTGACAGCATCGGAGAGCCTCGGGCTTCTGTATCAGCTGCTGTTCCTCGTCTGGGCTCACTGTGGGATGACACACGCCTGGCTTCCCTCTCGATAAGGCAGCCGAGCCCCCCACCCCCGCCATTCTTCCAGGGACTCAAACCTACCGCTCATCATCACATCCCACATGTCAGGTTTTCTCCCCAGAGGCGCTGAGGATCATGATGAAAACCACCGCGGGGCTTTTCACGAGCTGCACTGGAGCCGGCGCTGGAGAAGTCACAGATGTGCTGCGTGTGTGTCACCTGCGGGCTGCTAATTAGAGCGCCGCTGACAGCCCAGAGATGGGGAGCTGGAGAGGCTGGGAGCAGGCAAGAGCCCGGTGGGCTCCTGTGAGTGTAGGCCTGAGTGCCGCAGCGGAGCCAGCAACAGCTTGGAATCACCCAGCTTTGTGGATCTGCCCTCACCCCCTGCCGTCCTCGGTCCAGCCCAGCCCTCGCCTCCTGGGGGAACCCAGCCCAGCTCGTCCCACAGCCCTGGGGCCTGCATCACCCTGGATGGACTGGAGTGGGTCTGACCACTGTTCCCTGCAGTTGGTTCCCACTGAGGTCACAGGATGCAGTGGAGGCCTGCAGGCCGGGGGCTTCTCCCTGCTTTGCTAGTTGGCCACTGGCCACTGACTGTGACCTCACAGGCCTCTGGCTCCCTGAGCCTGGGGTCTCCTGAGCAATGTGAGGTAGTGACACTCTTAGGGCTCCAGGAAACATGTGTCCTCTCTCAGCACACCTGCTGTGGCCCACGGGGCTCTGTTCTGAGCTCCTGGTCATCTTCCTGACTGGAACGAGCCCAAATATCCATGGTGGGGGGCTCTGCCGGAGCTCAGTCATGGGAGAAGGCGGTAGACCCGGATCAGTGTGTAGGACACCGGGTGAGCCTGGCTGAGCCTTCCGCCTCTCGGATCCCCAATGTTCCCAGGTCTCAAATCCAGCGTAAGTTCCCGGGAAGTCAGGGAACGTAAGGGGGAAAGCACTCAGCCTTGCAGGGCTTTGTCGCCTGGACGTGGATGGGATCAGCACACCTCGTGGGGCAGCAAAGGCGCCAGGCCTCCTCTCCAACAGCGTCCTTTGACTCAGGGGTCCTCACATTCTCTCTTGCTCCCCAACCCCCAGTATGCCCTCCTGTTTTCCATCCTATTATCTGCTCTCTCTTACCCAGGGATTTTCAGCCTCAGCACCACTGACATTTGGGACGGATCATTCTCCCTGCGGGGCCGCCCCGTGCACTGCAGGCTGCTGAGCAGTGTCCTCGGCCTCCACCCACGAGAGGCCCGCCCCACCCACCTCTGACGCCACCACCCAAAGCCTCTGCAGACACTGCCCAGTGTCCCCGGGCGGCAGAACTGGCCTGTGGAGGACCGGTGGCCTGCCCCAGTGCTTACTGGGTGTGTAAATACTCTCTGAGCCCCTGTATGTGCACGAACTTGCCTGAGGTCTAGTGTGGCTGTGGCCAGTGGTGACACTAGGTCTAGTGTGGCTGTGGCCAGTGGTGACACAGCAAACACGGGGCCTCAGCATGCACCAAACTGGGCCGGAACCCACCGCAGCCATGAGCTCTGTAACCCACACAGCAAACACGAGGCCTTACCGTGCGCCAAACTGGGCTGGAACCCACCTCAGCCATGAACTCTGGAACCCACAGAGCAAACATCGGAGGGGAAACACTGTTACTCCTACTTTACAGGCGTAAAAACTGAAGTGCAGAGCATTTGGGTGCATCGGAATCTTAACTCTTCAGCCCCGCAGGCCTCAGGTTCAGACATTCTGCTTCAGTAGGGCTGGAAGGGGCCCTGGGGAACCCCACTGCGGGGAACCCCACTGCAGGGAACCAGAAACCAACTGGAAGAGCTGGTGTCCTGCAGGCCCCAGAGCTCCTCAGAGCCTCAGACGGGGTTGGAGGGCCTTCCCCTGCTCCACCCTTCCCCTAATACTGGTTGTTCCTTTCATTCAATAGATGCTCAAATCTTACACAGTTTAAACAGACATTCCTAAGAGCATTGTATTTGCATGTAATTCGACTGTTTTCTTATAGTAGTTGTAAAAGGGGAAGGAAAATCTATTCCAGTTAATTGCAGGTTCGGTGGAACCGGAGTTAGAGGGCATCACCATTGAAACCAGCTTATTACCGATCGGAAAAGTGACAGGCCTGGGTCCACGGGCAGACGCGTTGGCAGAAGCCTTTGTCACGCCATGGCTGACATCTCCACATTGTTTTTCAGCTGGTAATTCCTTAAAGACGGAGACAATAGTCATTTAATATCGTTTGCTCAAATGAGCAGTTCCCCGAGCAAATAATAATAATAAAAAAATGTCCCTGAGAAGCCAATTAGACTCTGCAGCTTGTACCAAGCAACGGCCTTCTTAATAGACGCCCTTTTTACAAGCGCAGCTGTGTCACCCAGATGAAAAATCAGGCCCCCTTTTGCTGCTGATATGTAAATAAATGCAGGCGATCGCATATGTAATAGCCCTGTTCCATCAGCGGGGTTTAGAAACCCGATAGGAATACTTCAGATAAAGGGGCAATTTGTGGAAGGGATTTTCTAATGAGAATGAGGGATAGGAGAGGCCGTGAGAAGACAGGAGATCTTCAGGGTCAGGAAATGTGACCCAGACCAGGGCAGAGCTCAGCCTCGTGCCGGGAGACAAAGACCTTGGCTGACTCCTCTATGTAAGGACGGCGGGGGTTCTCCTCGTGGGCTGCATCCCGCAAGCACAACAGCCATGGGGATTCTAATCTTGGGGTGCACATATTCCCTTTAGACACCGTGACCTCTGTGGATTTCTCCCCAGAAAAGTGCATATATGTGCACACCATTTTGTATATAGATCCAGGGTGCCTCAGGGATCCTGAGACTCACCCTTGGACCCTAGCTCAAGAACAAGAACGTCTTTGGGGCTGGAGTCTCCACCAGGGTGGTTCTGCCCCCAGGGACATGTGGTGACGTCTGGAAGCATTTATGGTTGTGCAGCTGGAGGGAGGGGGCCCTGGCATCTCGTTGAGGGAGGCCAGGTGTGCAGCTCAGCATCCCACAGGGCACAGGACAGCCCCTATGCAAGGAAGGATCTGGCTCCAAGTGTCAATAGCATTGAGACAGAAACAGCCTGCTCTGTGTGATCTGCCCACAGCAGGGTCCCAGAGCACCCATCTAACCACCTTGCATCTACAGATGGGGAAACCAAGGTCTGGAGTGGAGAAGGGACTTGCCCAGACCCCAGGTCTTGGTGGTGGCAGAGGCAGCCCAGTGTCGAAGCCATGCTCCCAGCTGTCCCATACCTGCTACCCGGCTGGACTGTACCAGCCCCTCCTCAGCAGAGGTTCCTGGAGCCTCAGGCAACCTGCACGGGAGCTGTGAGGCCTCACTGGCCTCAGCTGTAAAGCAGGGGAAACAGTTCCAGTGATTCCAGACCCACCACCGAATGCCAAGCCAGCTTTCAGCTGGGGCTTTGCCAGGGTTTCCTGACACAGAGAAAGAACAAGCCAGTGATTCCCTTCTGACTCGGCAATGGAGCCAGGTCACAGGCAGAGTGAGGGCCAGACTGCGGCTGGAGCACGTAGGGCCAGGTCACCTTGGGCCACCAAGGAAGGCTCTACCAAGAATGGTCATTCCCGAGGGCACCGGAGAACTGGAGGGGAGGCCTAGGGAGGAGGGGAGGAGGGGGAGGCCTAGGGAGGCAGGGAGGAGGGGGAGGCCTGAGGAGGAGGTGAGGAGGGGGAGGCCTAGGGAAGCAGGGAGGAGGAGGAGGCCTAGGGTAGATGGCTAGACCTGAGGGTGGGAGGCTTGGGGGTGTCATGAGGAAGGCTTCAGTGGGGGTGGAGGTAGATTGGTTTGCAGGGCACTGCCATCCATGGCTGAGCCTCCATCTCCGTCACCCCCTGCAGGGAGAGTTGGTTGGATGGCTCCGTGTGGGTGGGGACAGCCTCTGGGCGGGATGCTCCATGGCCACGGAACTCTGTGCTGGTGGGCAGGCTCTGGCCCTGCGTGCGGAGCCGCCTTCCCTGCTCACCCTTGGCCTTCCTTGCAGTCAGCTGACAGCCGTGCCTAGCAGCAGGGTCCTGGGATCTGGGGGCCACAACCTACCTGGAACCGACAAGGTCTATGCCTGGCTCGCCATCCACAGAGCCCCACAGAGAGAGTGCTCTCAGACACCCCTCACCGCCCAGGCTCGGAGTCACACGCCCCTCACCACCCAGGAAGGGAGCTCCCAGGCCAGCTTTTCCCCCTCCCCCGTCCCTGTCCCCAACCTCACCCCTCCCCTGCTGACCTCTCCAGAACCACAGAAGGGGTGCATGGGCCTCCCCTCCCAGATCCTAACCTAGCAGTGCCCCCTGTCCAGGGAGCCCCAGTCCTAACGGGGAGCGGGTGTTCCCCTACCCCAGCCCTCTGTCTCTCACCGTGGCTCCCGGTCAGCTCTGGTCTGTTCTCCCCTCTCCCGCACTGGGTTCTCTAGGATGAAAGTCATTTCACTCTTAAGAATTCCAAGAATGCGGTCGCCACTGCAGAAACAATCAAATCTCCTTTCCCTCTGGCCCTGTCAAGGTCACCAACGGTGATGAAGAAGCACCTAGCTTGTGGTATTACTTCCTTCAACCTCAGACAAATGTAGGGAAATATATACACGTGTGTGTGTGCGTGTGTGTGTGTGTATATAATTTATATCTATAATTTTTGCTGTTTTTCTTTTTTAACCAAAATGGCATTCCGCTGCCTCTGCTCCCTGAGACCCCATCACGCCATCACGTAATAACCTGTGGTGGCCATCGTTCCAGGTTAGCGCCACTGAGCCTCATCCATTTTCATCACGGCAGAATAGTTCAGCTGCCAGGTCCTGCTGCCTCTGCACCCCGCTCTGGGGGACTCCTGAGGCTGGGAGGTGCTGGGCCTGATTCAGCTCAGTCACCCCAACAATGCACACAGATGTGTGCACATGTGTACACACAGGCATGTACACACGTAAGCACATCCTGCCCATTCTGGGGTCGAATGAGTCATGAATGGACAGTGACCTTTGGGGTACTGAGATGCCACCCCGGCCCACAGGCCCTCACCTTTTCTCCAGTCACACGTGAGCGTCCTGTGCCCAGCAGAGAGTTCTGAGCCACGGAGCCTGCATGGTGAGGGAAGACACTGAACCTGGGGGCCCCCAGGCTGAGTAGGGCATTTGCCCCTCTGCGAACCTGGCTCTGTGCATTCCCCAGCCTGGGCTGCCTTGCACAGGGCTACAGACCAGGCAGCTGAAGCAACAGAGACGAATTCTTCCTGTCCTGGAACGCAGAGCCCCCAGAGCAAGGCGTCAGCAGGGCGGCCCCCTCCCGAGGACTCTCCTTGGCATGTAGATGGCCGTGTGCTCCCTGTGTCCTCACGAAGTCGTCCTTTTGTGTGTGTCTGTGTCCCAATCTCCTATAATAATGACCCCAGCAGGTTGGAAGAGGGCCCACCTTCTGGCCTCATTGTAACTTAATTACATTTTAGGAAGCCCTATCCCCACACACAGTCTCATTCTAAAATACTAGGGGTTAGAACTTCACCCTAGGACTTCCGGAGGACGCTGCTCAACTCATAACAGTCTTCCTGCTTGGACAGATAGACGGACCCTTGGACCACAGATCCCTGGGCCCTGGGAGCACCTGAGCCTCTTCGTGGTGAGAGACAGCAGCCCAACCTGGGGGCAAGGTGGGAACAGGCCCTTTCCACACCTTGTTTCCGTGGACACGACACAGGCTCGCATGAAATCCTCAGGGAAGCCCTTTGCTCAGAAGCAGCACCATGTCAGGGTACTGAGAACTTGGATTTTTTTCTTCTTCCATGTCCTCTCTCCAAAGCACTCCATCTTGCTCACGCGTGCTCTTCCTCACAGTAAGATCAGCAACAAACCTTGGAGGGGAAGGGGGCCTGGGTTTCCAGAGTGGCGGGATATCCCTCCCTGGCTCCCCAGAGCCTGGGTGAGCTCTCCTGGCTGGGACACACTGGTTTCCCTGCTCACCCACAGACACCTGCCTTCTCTGGCCCGCCTGGGTGGGGCGCCTCACGGCTGTCATGGGCCACTACAGCTGTCTTCCGCTCTCCCCTCGCTGACAACTGACAGGCCAGGTCCTCAGATCCGATGATAGCTGTCACCACTCCCAGCGTGTCAGGGAAGGAGCGAGCATTACAGGGCCCTGTCTTCTCCAGCCCTCCTGCCTGCCGATCCACCAGCCTCTGCGGCTGCCTCCAGGGCCGCCCATCGATCCTGCCCGCTCTCATTTTCCAAATGATGTCCTGGAGGCTTTTGGCCTTTCCAAGCCAGCTCTGGGCCTCGGGGCAGCCTCCACCAGGGCAGGGAGGGGCAGCTGAGCCGCACACAGGAAGAAGCTGATGCCCTGTCTCTCCAACCTGCTCCTCGTGTGGCTGGGGAAACAGGCTCTGTGAGGAGCAGGGCTTTCCTTCCCTCTCTCAGGAGCCTGAGTCCTGCTCTCTCATCTACCTCAAGCTGCTGCACGTCCCGGGCCTGGGTTTGGGGCTGGACTCCACCCACAACCTGCCCTGACCTGCAGGGTGGGATCCACAGCCGATGCTCCATGGCCGCTGCTCCCATACATTTAGTCCTAGAAGAAGAGGACCAGGCACTCATTCAGCACCTGCTGTGCTCCCCTCGCTGCCCACGTTTCACACTTATTCAGGCTCATGCTGACCCTGAAAGCTCCAGAGGAGTCAGGCCACTTGCCTAAGGCCACACAGCTCATAATGGCCAGGGCATTGGCTCGGTCAGGAGCCTGGACACTCCTCTTCTAGGACTTCCAACAAGGTGGCTGGTCAGAGGTCTTGGCCCAGGTGCGATGTGCTGAGAAAGCAGGAAGCCACCTCTGGTGTCTGCTTCTGGGCTTGCAGAGATGGGCATAGGTCTGGCCTTCAGGCTGCTGAGGAATGAACTGGAGGCCACAAGCACAGCATCTAGGACAAAACTGGAAGGATGGCCAGGTGGGCTGTGCAGATCTCCGGGGCTGCTGGGCCAATGGGACCTGGCTGTCAGAAAGTGGGGCCCAGCCTTTGGAAGGGGGCCTGTCCTGCGGCTGGATGAAAACACATGTCGGGGCAGACCGGAGGTCTCAGCTGATGGGCGAAGGGGGAGCCGGGCTGCTTGAGGACTGTGTAAGCCCTCTCTCTCCCCCTGGGGCTGCCCGAGTCTGGGTGAGCTGCCCACCCTGGCCTGGCTGAGGCCCTTAGTTGTGTGAGTGGCAGAACCTACCTGCAGGGTGGCTGGCATGGAAAGGGCAGGACGGGCTCCTGGATCTGAAGCCAGAGGCTGGACAGGTGGCCTGCCCAAGTGGCACAGGGCTACATGCTGCCCGGTGGGCACAGCCATGTCAGGTCACTGCCCACACCCCTCCTTCGTGGCACTTGGGGAAGGGCGGCTGCTGGCCAGTCTCCATCACCATCCTCCCAGTTAGTAGCACCCCACGGGGCCAGCACTGTTCCCATCTCAAGGAAACCTGATTGGGTGAGCTTATGCCTGGCACCCCTCAGAACAAATCCCAGGGAGGCTGGGGAGGCATCATGGGCCCAGCCTGTGCCAGACACCACCATGTGTCAGAGCCGGGTGTGAGAGCAGTGCCTGCGGGAGGCCACAGTCCTGGAAAAGAGACAAAAGGAAGGTGAGTTCCCTGTGCCCAGCCCTCCGAGGGACGCTGCCTGCACTGGTTTCTCCTGCACTTGGACCTATGGGGCAGGAGACTAGAGATGCCCTGTCTCCTGCCACCTCCCGCCACTGCAGGCCACCAGAAGTCCCCTCACCACCGAGGGCTGGGAGCGGAGCCAGCAGCCCACAGTGGTCTGACCAGGGCATCCAGGACAGGGCACCTCTCCCCGTGGGCGAGGATCCAACAGAACGATGGCCCCCAGCGTGCTTTCTCGCCTCTGGGCAGACGGCGGCCATCAGGGCAGCATGAGGCTGGCCGTAGCCTCTTCCCGTCCAGGCCACTTCCCTGTGGCCTGTGACAAGCGACTCTCTGCTCAGCCTCCCCTCTTGGTGCTCCCTGGGGACAAACTGTCCTGTGAGACCCTGTCCCTCCCTCCATGTGGAAGGCACTCAGCCCATCTCCACCCACCCTCTGCTGAGGCCCCTCTACCCGATGCCAGCTCTACAACTGGCAGCTCTGACATCCTCAGCCCACGGCCACACCCAGGCATGACTCGGATCCCTGAGAGGGAGCTGGGCTGGAGCCTCGTGGGAACTCCTGGGGTGTGGGATGCTCTGCGGGGGCCGGGAGGCCAGGTGCCCTCTGGAAGGACAGACGCTGCCTGGCACCAGGTGCCCCTGCTTTTGCCTGCCCTGCTCCCTTTGGGCTCGTTTTCAGGTCTCTGTCCAGGCAAGTCCCTCCCTAGGCCCTCCCACCTGCCCTGGGCTGCGCTAGTCCCTCCTGGGTCCCCTGCGCCCTGCACTGACCTCTGCACACATCCACCTCTCCAACAGAGTCAGCCCCAGCCTCTGGCACTGGGACCCCCCCCCGGGACCCACCAGCATTTGTGCAGGTCCTACCAGTCCCTCTTTCCTGCCAGTCCCTCTTTCTTGCATGTACCCCTTCACTGGCCTCCAGCCAGCCCCCCTCAGCAGCAGGAAGCCTGGGCTCTGAGCGCTTGAGTGACAGGCCCAAGGCCATAAGCTCCTACCCAGGGAGTTGCCCAGGGAGCCCGTGAAGCCTCGTCCCTCTGACCTGGTGTGTGCGCTGCACTGCAGGACGGCTGGGTGAGGGGCTGCTGTGGTGACCCTGTCCCCACACAAAGTGGAGCTGAGTGAATAAGTGAAGGGGGTGGAGGGCTGAGCTCCCCGCACAGTGGGGCCAGCCAAGGCTCAGAGAGGTCTGAGCAGAGAGCAAGGTGGGGTCCTGGCCTTCACCCTGCTGCTCTGCTGGGAAGCCCACCATGCTAGCCGCCAGGGGGATGTGGAAAGATCCATCGTGTCTGCGCTCCTGACTCTGTTCCTTCTTGTCACACGGCCTCCGCCACACCCGCCCATGAGCGTGGACCTCCAGTTCTGCAAGCTTGGTCCTTGGGGCCCACAGCTGAGCTCCCGTGGCAGGTCACACCCACCGCCTGGACACTTAGCCGTACATAAGAAGAGTGTGCAGTAGGGAGAGAAGGGTGAGCCCTGCCCCAAGTGCCCTCCTGGGACCATCGGATCCTCTGGGAGGGTCAGCGCCCACCGTGGGACTGCCTCTCCTGCTGGGCAGCTTCCCCCATTGGGGGTGACCCGGGCTCTGCGTTCCCAACTCTGCTGGCCCTTCCACTTCCTGTCACAGGAAGAGCAGAGCGCCCAGTTCTGGAAGGGCAAGGTCCCCTAGGGTGCAGACAGCACATACATCCGCGCCTAGAGAATGCTCGCACCTGTGGCCCCACACATATGGCACAGACCCCAACATGAGTGGGTGGTGCTGTCAGAGGCCCGAAGTGGACAGGCAGATGCAGCGATTCTAATCCAGAGACCCTCGAAGGGACTGGGTGAGGAAATGGGGAGGGTATCCAGGGCGTGGAGGCCTGCACAGACCATC